TTCAACCCCTTCATCTTCGATCTCGGCTGGAATCTCTCCTCCTGGGTTTTGTTGGAGGGTGCAGGCCTCAAACGGATGCATGGTGCACCATGGGCCAATGTGCTGGGGCCAATGTGAAGTTGCACCGAACTCCTGCAGGATTCCACTCTGGACCTAACACCGGGGACAAGGACTCACCAACGGATGGTCATCACATGTCGTCACATGTTTCAAAGCAGCGGTCGGCAGGGTCAGCCGCAAGTCACATCAATGATTCTACTGCAATCATTCTCAGATAAGTTGCGCCCACCGGTCAGTTCGAGCCGGGATTCATGCATCCGTGTTCCTGCTTCCATGATTGTTCAACTGTCGTTCAAGCAGTGCCCACTTGCATCGAAGCGATGGTTGCACCCGCCCTCCCACTGAAACGGTCGCTGTTCAACAGTCTGGTCAGATATGGCTTGGACGGAAGGAAACATGTGGACTGCACAGATCCGCTATGATCCGCTCGTCTAAGCCATATGCACGGTCACACTCCAACTTGCCCATCGATGAAGCTGACCAAAAGAGGTCTCCAATTGAATCTTGAATTCATACAAGTCTCCTCCCCACGTGTAGCTGCCGCCACTCTGCGTGGTCGACGTGCCCGAGGCCTCTGCCGCCTTTTCGCGACGGATACGGCCTCATCCCAGGCCTCTTGCATTGCTACTACCATTCGCTCCTCAGCTCGCTTGAACAAGAATTACTAAGTACTATGATGCCAAGTTCAAGCAACTTGGCTTCGTAATTTTTGCGCTCCTCTTGCGTCATCTTCGTCTTTCCAGTTTCAGCTCCTCGGGTGTTGCCCACTCACCCAAGCCTGTTCCACACACAAGCACTGCCACACACACGATCTCCGTTGCACAAGCAGTTTCCTGCGCGAAAGGACAAGGCCATGTTCGCCAAGACCTCCATGAAAATCGACATCTGACGCGACCAAGAAGTGCTTCGAGTGGGCGATCGCCCAGGGACCGCCCGACCCAGAAATGTCCCACGGAACACTTCCGCCCGATGGTCTGTGTTCGATGATATCAGAGGCCTGTGCTTGGGAAGATCTGATTCAACCGCTGTCACCGGTTCAGCGGTACAACGGGCCATTGCTAGTAACAAGGGCATCGCTACTAGTAGCAAGAATGCTACTAACGCTACTAGTTCTTCCAGTCCCTTCCAATGACTGGCTTCGTGTGCCAGTGATTGACCAGCAAATCCGCAGACTCGCGGTAGGTATCGGGCACCCGGCTTAGGAGGCTCTGGCGCGGGCGGCGGTTGCTGGGGCAGCCGAGCAGCAGCCTGACATAATCCAAAAGGAAAATTGGAGAGTTCCACATCACCATACAAGCAAACCCATGTGTCTGTTTAGCACGGATTGACTACTAGTCCGTCCTCTCTTCTCCCTTTGCATATGCAATCTGCACCTGTGCCATTTGCTGCTGTTGCTGCTGCTGTTGCTGCATTCCAGGCCTCAGCGTTCAAGTGTGTTCACCATGCCAGCTAGCGCTTTAGAACCGATGTTCAAGGCTACAGGCTAGAGTCCTTAAATATCCTTAAATAGCTACATTCCAGTTACAGTATATATATGTGTATATATATATATATCCTAGCCCTAGCTTCGAACTTCAAACACATCACATTACATCCTTCTTTCCAGACAGCTCTTCTCCAGTCACTTGTTTTGAAACGTGTTTCTTGGGAGGGTCTGGGTGCCCGCGCATGCCAGGTGGCAACGCGAAGGGGTTGATGGCTAAGCTGTGGGGGTTGGGCATCCCCCCAGGGCCCTGCCCTGCCAGACATGGCGCGTCACACGTGTCACGTCGGGGTTGACCCCCCGCTGACCATCAGGATGTACGAAGTGGCTAGCTAGACTTGTGGTTCTTGCAGCTTGTGCCTCCATAGGTCCGTGCGGAGTCGGTCCGAATGGACTGATTGGTGACCTGCTCTTCTGCAGTTCTGGCATCCAACATTCTCGTTACGGTTGCTATGTTGGAGACTGAGGAAAAGGATGGAAAAGGGTGTTCGCAATGAAGACAACAGCAACAGACCGGAACAAACGTGCATTCGACTCGCTCCGCCTGGAAAGTTGAACATGGCCGGGTCGACTCTCCTGTGCCGAAAAACACGAGATTCCTCGGTCCCGTCACGGGAGGTAATTACTACTGAATTGATTTGATTTCTTCCAATTGGATCCACATGGACCGTTTGGGGGCAGGTGTGGTGCCCGCATCAACCCGTTTGTGGGGGCAACAAACTGAGAGGAACAGGTTGGATCCTTGGACTTGGCCCCCTCTCACGTCTCCTAGGCGTTCCAACGGGTGGAGTGGGGGTCCTAGTCTGAAACATTGCACGGGTATGGATAGTATCTAGTGTGCTTCAACAATAGGGCACAGAAGGGCACAGTACTGCCAAACCGGCTGGTGGAAGAAAACATCAAGTGAAACATGCTGGTAACTAGGTCTTTCATTTCAAGTCATAGCCACATGTTGTGTTTCTACGCCTTTGCTATTGGGCTTTTCATCCGTGAACTCGGTTTCATCGCGAACAATCCAAAAGTTCCACCCTTGAACATGCAACCGAGAGGTCTGGGAACTTAAGGGCCTCCTTTGTAATGACCTTGAATACATGAGTTTCAGCGTTCTAACTCTAACCCCGCACCACAATCCGGCGCAACGTCACCCGCTCCAGGGTCAGGCGGACCACAAAAACACCTGAGTCTACTGAGCCAAGATTTTTCTGCGGAAGAAAAGCGCGTCGCAAATCACTTCAACCGTCCAACAAAGAAGGTATTGAATTGTGGGGCACCGGCAGTCAGCAAATCTGTTATTATTGTTGTTTCACTTCCTAGAGTACGGTAACCCCAACACCATCTGGGAAAATGAGTAAACTAACCATCAAACATGACGAAAACCTGTGCTCTCCTCCGACATGTGAAGTACCACGCCCTCCTCACCAGGCCACCCTGCTGTTACCATCACTAGAGCTCGGATGCACAATACTGAGGGGTGCCGCACTCGACCCGAATGAATAACTCAATGGATCACCCGGCCACCAGAGGCAGCACCAGAGGCGGTTCAGAGTTGCGTGGGATCAAGAGGCTGAACGGAACTCTTCTGTACTAAGGCTGAACGGTTCAGGTTTAGTTTTCTTCCTCCACAAGCTTCTCATCAGGGGTGGTCAATACTCTTTTGCCACGAGCATTTGAGTTGGCAATTAGGATTGGTTGTTAAAAGTGTTAGTTATGCCCTCCCTCATTTAGATATTTGACCCTGGAGTTGTTATGACTCGTTATGACTTGTTCTATGGAACAAAAGGCTAAAAGGTGTTCCTCTTTGATCACTCGGGCTTGTTAGAAGTTTGACGCTTGCTATCACCCACAGCTACCTACATTGCCGATTAAGGCTGCTTCTTTGCAATCGTACCGGGCAAAATTGCTCTGTATGCAGTGGTGCCCAAGGCCATGAATACAAACAAAAGATTGGCAGACTGCTACGGCTTTGCACACTGCCCCCCTGCCGGTGCAAAAAAAAAACAACAGAAAACAACACAATGTGACCCTCTCACTTCCACTTGCATCCCCTTTTGCTCTACTTTGTTGCGCTGAAAACGGCGCTCGTCGAATTTGCCTAAGGCAGTCGACACAGCTCGGGGATCTGGGTGTGCTCCAAGCAGTCTTAAAGGCCTATAGACCTATAGATGCACCAAGCAGTTCTTGAGAACACCAAGCAGTGTGGGATCGATGGCCCTCGGGCCAAAGCCATCCGATGGGTCAATTCTTTCCTCTCTCCTTGTGTCAAAAGGTCTGATTTCTTGACCCAAAGCCATCGATGTGAAAACCCTTCGCTGCGGCCCCTGCGTCTGAGAGTGGCAGTGCCCTGGCAAAACTACACGTTCTATATCATATGATCTCATCCTGTCCCAATCCAAACCCATATCCGCATATCATATATCCTGATCATGTCTTGGAGGTGTGCCGCTGGGTTTGGCAATTTGGTGAAGCCTTCTGAGACACACCCAGCTGTACATCGAGCAGCTTCCAGCTGTACTTCGTGACGCCCAAGTGGCATCGAACATCCACGACAGAGATATGTATGCTCAGAATCAATCAAAGGAATCAGCAACGCTTGCAGCCAATTCAATTGCACGTTCTCCCTATTTCCGGTGTCGAGCTCGAGGTTCGCGTGTGCCACGGGGGTCCCCAGTTCCAACCGATGGGACCCTCACCACCGGACACAGCGAGTGTGGACGCGAGCGATGCTATGCTGCTATGCCGAGTCTTTGTACATCAAAAGCGAGGGAAACGCGTCAAAGGGATGAACATGGGAACAATGCACACAACTCCGAAGGTAGAAACATCACTTGCAAAACATAAATCATGCAATCAAATTCGGTAGTCTTCGCCAGCTTGGAATCTATGAAGTCACCGTGGCGAAATGCTGCGCGACGGCCCAACTCGCCATTAAAGCCCCGGGCAAGTTCGGGCCTGTCAAAGCTCGCTGTTCCTGCTCGCAACTTGGGCAAGCTATCTCGTCTTCACCACATTCTCTCATCACCTCGAGACAGCAAACCTCGTGGCATTCATGTCGCCCGCAGTGGAGTTTTACAGGCTCTTTCTCAACTTCAAATTGGCACAAAGGACATGTCGAGTCAGCGATCGACTATTTTGGCAAATCCGGGTGGTTGGCTGCTTTCCTCTGCCTCATGATGATGCTGAAAACATGGCCAATGTTCTTCATGAGGTCCGAGCTCAGCTGTCACTGTTGGCCTCCGCAGCAGACCCATGGACCAACCAGAGGTGATGGAAAGGTCCACTGCCAGAGTCTGTTGTTGAATTTATCCACTGCCACCGAATGAGAAGGGGGGGGTTGGGGGCAAAGTAGCAAGGACCTTTTGAGGATAGGGGCCTATTTCAATATGAACAAGCAACCGAAATCTTGAAGAGCGGCTAAGAACATGTTCAAACCAACAGTTCTCCTGTAACATCCTCGTGATCACATCGGGCCATCTACGCATAGACTAAAACATACAAGTCCCCCAACCCTTGCAATCCCCAAAAGTGGGCATCCTCCTTCCTTCCACTCCATTCCACCCTTCCTTTGCCTCGCCTCGGCCAGTGCTCCGAAGAGCGGCCCGAGCTCCGGCAGCGGCGGGCCGCGCCAGGCACAGCGATCGCACACGCGGCCGGTGTCGAGGCCCTGTTCGGGGATCGAGCCTTGGGGATTGAGCGCAGAAACGATGGAAGGGAAGTCTGGATGCTCCTAGTAACAAAGGGCATCGCTACGAACGGAGCAAGGACGCTACTACTGGCCTTACTACTAGTAACAAGAAGCTACTAGTAACTAGAAGCTACTAGGTGGAGGCCATCGCTATTAGGTTGGAGGCCATCGCTGCTAGTAAATAGAAGCTAGAATGTTCAAGGTTCCCAGGTCCTTGTGGGTGGGAGAAGGTGGGCCGAACGTAGGGCCGCAGGCCCATTGGTTCCCTGGCTCCCGCCCTTCTTCGCCAAGTCACGTCGTGAAGAAGCGCACCCCACACACACCACCAGGCCGCACAAGCGGCAGTTGGTCATGGCATGACATCGCATCTTTCCCGAGCGCGCAGTGTTCATCCACTCATAACCTTCATTGGCGGTCGGCAAGTGTCTTTTCAACCGGGAGACCAGCGGAGGCGTAGGGATGCGCAGGGATGCAGCGGCAGGTGCCAAAGCAACACATCATTGTTTACCGTCTCTGCTTTGAAGTCATTGGATAAAAGCTTGACAGGGTGGTTATAGTTTCAACATGATTTGACATTGCCCCGTGAAATCTCCAATTATGTTTGATTGCTAAACTAGATTCATGGCAGTCGACAGCTGATGTTTTTACAAGAGACTGCCTGTGCACAATCTGCGGCCCCAGCGTCATATTACTGGAAAATTACAATAGCTGTTGAGCAGAGTAAAACACCAAAAAGAACGTCCATCCCTTAATTAACTGATTCTGGAAGCTCGACCACTCAACCATCACCCGGGAACCCCCTTCGTGCCCTAGGTACAACCAACTACCACATAGTACCTGAAAACTTGAGAATCAATGATGAACCAAAAAATACTTAAAATATCTAAAGGTCTAAAGTGCAAAACTTCCCAAACAGGTGGCAGGTAGAAATGTTTTTACGGATCCACTCCTAAATCTTTGGGAGGCAAAGCAGTTGGCCACCAGTCGCTCTCCATTCTCACCTAAAAGGCTTTGCGCAGTTGCCCACCAGTCGTTCTCCACCCGGGTCCGTTTTGCTTGACCCGGCGACGGCTCCCGCAGCAAGGGCACTTCTCCCCCGCGTCCGAGAACTTCTGCCACGGCGGAAGCTCAACGGTGGCGTCCCGCCGCGCTTGCACCGCGCGCAGGGCCTGAGCACCGGCGAAAACTCTACATGTGAGGCTTGGCAGGGATAACTGGATAACCAAACAAATACTTAAAACCATTTAAACTTTTAAAGTTGGTTGGGACTAAGCTGATGAATGAAATCTACCATCTCTCTGATTCCCGTGTGAGCATGTAGCAGGTCGCCCCCATGTTCCCATCGCAACTGACCGGTACCTGGTGGATGGCGCGAGCAGAATGGTCCTCGAACATCCGCTTGTCCAAGAGCAGCCGCCGCAGTGGCGCAGCCGTACAGGGCACCAGGGCGGCTTCCAGGTGCCCACGGGCCCGGTGCAGCCAAACCACGTTCCCTGGCGGCGAAATGGCCGGACGCTATCTACGGGCGATCTACCGGGGTTCCGACAAGCAATGCAAAGTCCTTCCTTTCTTGTCGGATCTATGATCTAGGGAAAGCATCAACAAACGCATCGTGGAAGAACTACAAAAGTTACATAAGTCCCATCCTGTGAGGAGCTATGGCCTGACCGGGAGTCGGAGCACCTGTTGATCACACGAAGCTTCGTGGGTGACCCTTGGATGTGCTTGGACTCTCGTGTGATTCTTAAATATCACACCGATATTGGTGTGTCACGAAAGGACCCAAGCTGCTCCAATGTTGACCTGATTGATTGGTGGTGAACTACCTAAATATCTCACAGCTGGGCGGCTTGCAAGAATCTCTGGAAGTTTGTGGCGACTGGCCACTCACCAAAAAGGAAAAGAAAACAACGATGTCGTGTACAATGCAACAGCTTGAGTTACCATCAGCATCCCCTTTGTCATCCTCTTCCCAGTCCGCTCTGCCTGGGATGTACCTGAGCTGATGACAACAGTGATGCAGCATCGAAACAGGGGACTCATGAGAACTTAGATTCTTTGCAGGACATTGTGTTTGTCGCGAGAAGCCGGGCAGGTGCTTTTGTCGCGCGGCAGCTGCGCGACAGGTGAATCCACGTGGCGCCCACACATCCATCAATTGAGCTGCCGAACAGGCGAGTTTTTCGACATCGCCTGTGCCAAGCTGCAGGTCCACTTCATCTTCCTCGTGACTAGCCCAAATATGGGGCTCCTGATTAAGCAGGTGCAGTTGCAAGGGTGCACCTTAAAAACAGTCCAGTACTTAATCATCTGAATCCCAACAGAAAGCCGGAGTTGGCAGAGTCGGGGGCGAATCTGACCGAAGAGACTGGACATGTCCCCGATCATCAATCAAGAATGTGATTCCAGCATATTCCAACAACACGCAGTCATGCTGACATGCTGTTGCATGATCTGAACAGCATGAAGCGCTCAAACCTGCTTTTGGGCATTCTGCTTGATGTGTCTAAATGGTCTTCCAACATCAGTGGAAATGGGTTCTGGGTGGTTCACCTAGTGTTGTCTAGAGTCTAGAGTCTAGAAGAAACAAGCGGTCACTAAAAAACGCAGGCTTCTTCAATCCTGGCCCGAAACTAGTGGTCAAACCAATCTCTCTCTCTCTCTCTCTCTGCCTGTCTGTCTGTCTGTCTGTCTGTCTGCCTGCCTGCCTGCCTGCCTGCCTGCCTGCCTGCCTGCCTGCCTGGCTGGCTGGCTGGCTGTCTGTCTGTCTGTCTGTCTGACTGGAAATGGGTCGTGGACGAACCCCACCCTCAGTCCGGCAGTGCTCCTCATCTGCGGCGTGGGGCGTGGGCGTCTTGACCGTAGGAAGCTCAGGCGCAGGCGTCCCATCCCTGTCGACTGTTGACGAACAGCTTCTCCAGTGTGAACGTGTCGAGCCCTTGATACCCCCTCATGTTTGGTGGTTCAAGCTGTGGTGAACATATTGCAGGATGTGTTCAAACAGCATTCTGGCTGGGATTTTGGCCAAGAGCTCATCAATCAATCCTGAGCTTATGATACCAGAAAGCCTATTTATCATCAAGTCCTTAATTTTTGCAAGTATGGAAACTTGCTGCCGAATAAATAATTGGTTTGTTTCGAGCAAAGTGGACTATCACCTCAGCTGAACGGCAGCAAAGTGGAACAGCACTCAACTGCGCAAGCGTCCCTTTGGATTGATTCAGTGTTTGGTCCAACATGTTTTGCCAAAAGACTCTTCTCAATCTTGGTGGACCCCAAATCACCGGATGATTCTGCTACAAGGGCGCGAACGGTTTGGATCCTAACGCCCGTCCAGCTTGGTCAATCTCAAATTAAACAAACTGTCAGGCCCTGAAGAGTTTGATCTTGTGTCTTAGCTTTAAAAATAGAGCGTAAAATCACTTCCCCGGACTTCCCCGGGAATGAAATCTGGAGACCGGGAAATGTATATTGAGAGGGGGCCACACCCCCTTGAATATACATGTTTGTGCCCCGGTGATGGAATTTAGGTCTAAAATCAGTCCAGGCTTTGTGGACTATCAGTGCACAACATTGCACAACAGGATGTCAACTGTCTGTACCGTACTACTCCGCCCCAAACACCCCAAACTTCTCCAAATCGCATGGCAGTTTTCCACTGCCATCATGTGTTGCTCAAAAGCGTTTGGTGCCTTCCGCCCAGGTTGGCCGACTGGTTGGTCTCCCAACACGTCAGAGGCGCCTCACTCGTGGTGCCCAAACACTACTCAGCCGCTCCACATAGTGATTGAGATCCTGGCGGGTGCGCTGGATCCGTTCGGCTTCGCCACGATCCGTTCGGCTTCGCGGGCTTTTGGGGAGGATGCGTGATTCGTGCCCTACAGTAATAAATGACATACAGTTTAGACTTTAGATGATACGAGTATTTTTTTGATATATCCTGCTTTTAGATCATTTTAGGACATCCCACATACCATAATTTAAAAGACTGGCGCTCACTGGTGTACCAAAATTCTGGCGTTCCGCCCCTTTCTCCGGCTCCTCATCCAAGTCAGCACCGCTCTGGGCCGCGCAACTCCGCAGCTCCCGTGCCAGGCGCCCCAGCGCGCTGGGCGACAAGCGGGGCACGGCATCCATCGAGTTGACCTCGGCACCGGGGACCGGAGGGATGACCGGTTGGACCGTCCTTGCTCCGTTCGTAGCGATGCCAAGAGCCCCTAGTCCCGAACTCCGCCCCGAACTCGTATCAAACCACTGCTACAACAGCACACACGTTGGTCACATCGTTGGTCACTTGATTTCACGGTGCCCCGAGCGGTGGTCCGTTTTTCACCGTCCGAGGGGCCAAGGAGGTGAAGTAGGGTCGCAGCGCCTCGGAGGTCCTCGGAGGGTCGCTGCGTTTGGACGATCCAAAGAAACCTCCACCACGATGGCTGCTTTTTGTTTAAGATCATATAAGTAACATCATTAATTTGTTGGTTCAAACCATTCATGGTTTGCCCAAGCTACCTGCAAATTCAACTCTGGGTCCAAGAATACGAAGAAACATGAAGAAACCAATCGACTGAACCCTGTTGTAGGACCAATGGATTGAGCAATCGATTCAATCTATTCAGAGTCTCATGGTTTAGTAGATGCTCAGCCTCCAAACACTGTCCTTCCTCTCCAGCACACTGGGAGGGCCATGCAAAACCCAGGGCTAGCTTCGTCAAATGCCCACTTTCAAGAATGCGGGGATGGAAACATCAAATCGCAGATGTTTTTGGGATCTTCAGCTTTTTTTGGCTTTGATCCTTCCTTTGGATATAGTAGAGTAGAGGGTTTCACGTGTTTTTTTTTGTGCAAACACGTTGGACAACTTTTTTAAACAAATTGCAATAGTACTAATGGTTATAATAAAGAACGAACAGGCCGCCAGCGTCTCATATCCATTGGTGCCCCGCCCGGGTCACCCACCGGTTACCCGGTCGCGAGGCCTGAGGTCGACCACGGAGGGCACCGCGTAGCCGATGCCCGTGACGGGCGCGTCCAGGCGCTCCCCATCCGTGCCGAAGCCTCAGTCGGGCATGCGACAGGAGTAGAGATGGATTTGTAAGAAATGCGGCAGGCGGCACAAAAAATGAAGGAAATCCATGAGCTATCCATGACCTCCAAAAATGCTGACTTCAAGTCCCAAGTCCCCGCCAACCTGCCAACCAATCTGAACCGGTCTCTGGTTATTTATTTCACCACGTCGCGGCTGCGCGTCGCGGCAACGCGCATTGCGGCTCGCGGCCGAGCGTCGCAGCAGCCAAAGCAGCACCGCCGCCACGGCTCCACCAAGGCTGTGACCCGTCAAGACAATGCGGTAGCCCGCCTGGTCTTTAAAGAAAAATAGTAACAAGAATGCTCCTAGTTGTACGGCCAGCAGCCCCTAGTAGCGTCCTTGCTCCTAGTAGCGATGCCACGAGCCCCTAGTAGCTTCTTGTTACCAGTAGTAAGGCCAGGAGCGCCCCTAGTAGCGTCCTTGCTCCTAGTATTTAGCGATGCCCTGTGTTACTAGTAGCTTCTTGTTCCTACAGCAGTGGCCCCAACAGCAGTGTCCCCAAAAAGGGGTTAGAGAGGTGGGAGTCCTCCACCTGATCAGCTCCTCTGGCGCTAAATTCACAGCACTAAGCGCCGGCCAAACCCTGGTCAAGTCAACCAAAGCACGATGACCATCTCGAAAAATCAAGCATTAAAACAAAAAATTGTGACCGCAAACATCCGCAAACTGTTTCAAAAGCATGTTGGCCAAGTCCCAATCCCATCCGCCTGCGCTAAGACCTTCAGCGTTGGCCGCAGCTCACGCTCCAACACCTGCGCTGCGCTCAGCACCCCGCGGTGCGCTGCCGCGCCGGTCGCGCAGGTGGGGAGGCCACCCGCATTGGCATCGAAGTCGGTGAAGAGGTCGCCGCCACGGGACCTGAAGAGTCGCAGGAGGTCGCCGACCGACACAAACAGTGTTCGTAGAGATGGCGACATGGATGGGGAGATGATGCTTCCTTCTACCAGAGGTGTTCAAGTGTTTCTATGTTGGTTCTGGAGAGGCTACCCACAGAACAAACAGTCTCAAGTCGGCATGGTTCAAAGGAGGAAACCCTGAAACCAAATCACATCTGGATCAACAACTATATACTGAGACCTTCGAAGCGTGCTCCACCCGCCCAGCGGCTGTTCCACGTCGGTGCCCCTGATGGACACGGCCGCAGTGCCGTCTTTCAAGAAGAGCGCCCAGGCAGGACGGTGCTTCCTGCCGTCCAGCGTGACGGCATCGGCGACGGTCCGAGGTGCGGACGGTCCGAGGTCATCGGCGAGGGGTCCCATGCGATACATGTGGGATGCGTTGGCAAAGTTCGCCGCTGCGATACAATATATTACATATATATATATATAGATATATATATAGTTATTCATAGTTATATTCTAATATTCATATTATTGCTAATTGCTTGGACTTGGGACTCGAAACGCGAGGGTGCATTCCGAATTTGCAGGGTGGTGACACCTTTACCAATTCAACCAGCAAAAATAGCTTTCCACTTGAAGCTGTGTTTGGGCATCTCTCACATTCCCAGTCCCCTCCTGCTGTCTCCCAAGCGCTCCGTCACCAGGCGCCAATTCCTCAACACCAATCATGTGGCTGAGTTTGGAATATTTGGAATATTTCGTAGGCCGTTGGTTCGTCATACGTTGTTTGAAGTAAGGATTATATAAGTCACTGAAATTGGGAACATATTTTGTGAGTTCGGCTTCGCCAAGCATGACTCGGCATTAGTAAGCATCGCTCCGCTGAAGCATCGCACCGCTGGCCCCAAAACTCACACTTCAAGTTCTGCTGATCCGGGGCTCCAGAATTGATTCAATCCGTTTGGTGGTCAGACTTTCTCAATGCCATCTGTTTTGGGCTCTTCAGGTGCTGACAAATCCAAGATGGGGTGTCTTGAGAAACCGGTCCAGGTCTACACGCCCTCGACCAGAATCATGGAACGTGGCATGAAAAGAAACGCTGACCGTCCCCTCTCCCAACTCCATGTCAATGTGTGGAGTTAAATTTAGCTACATTGAGCCCTGCCACCAGACAGTGTAGGTACTGCGGAGAAATGGTATCCTTTCTCAAACAAACAAACAAACAGCAAAACAAACAGCAAAGCAAGAGTTGGAACATGATGTGATTTTCGTTTTACGGTGGGGCATCCTGCTCTGTGTGGAGGCTAAATACTCCGCACAAGCATGGATTCTCTCGGATAACTCATCCGTTCGCCCAGCTTCTGTTGCAGAGCAAATCGTTGAACTTCAAAGGCTGTCTCATGGTACGGAGCATAAGTGCCTGCCATGCCGGAGGTGACCCATAAAGCAAAAGAAGTCATGCCCTACACATCCACCCCTAGCCCTCTGAGGTGATTGGGACAGTGAAAGGGGCGGATGACTGCACGGCAGAGAAACCTTCTCAGAAGGTATGTGGAACCCTAGGATTTGTCAGTGCCATTTGAGGTGGAGAAGGATCCCTACTGTCGCCGCGTGATATCATGCAGAATCGCTGACGGACACACTCTCTGACCTATGGCTTGCAAAATGCCAATGAATCTATGCCGCTCCCACATGATCAACAAGAGTGGTCTTTGTGTAAGAGTGCAGGATCCATTGAAGCTGATGTATATCCAACCAAAACCCACCTAAATCAATTTAACCCAGCAACTCCCTCAGAGTGACTTTAGAACGGATATCGGTAGAATCGTCAATCTCGTAACAGAAAATACCTATCAAATCCAGAAAGACCCATCTTGGATAAAAATGGATTGCTGTCAGGAATGTCTCACAATAACTCTGTCGTTCTCGTAATTATATAGATGTAATTAGTGGGGAACACACTTTCCATGGTCCATTAGTTTTTCACCATCAACTTGCCACGTCCTGCTGCCCTGCCTATCAATGCCATGCCCATCAGCGCATCCAGCAGATGTTGAGAGACCGGCCGGCCAGTCTCCACTGCCACGCGCCGGAATCCATCCTCAGGTCGCCCATCGTCGCCATCGGTCGCCGACTTCCGGCTTCCCCAGGTCGCAAGAAACAACGAAAACAGGTCTTCAAACAGGTCTCCTAACCTAGTCCTCAAGGGTTCTTGGACCCCAAAAGGTCTTGACTGGAGAACCATTTGGAGGCTGCATGGAGGAGACTTGGGATGGGTTTCGGGTCGTAAAGATTGCACGTCGATGCTGTTTGTTTCTCTGGAGGCGTGGAACTGCTTGTCCAGTTTCCTCTAGAATCTTCTATATTTTGGAATAGTCTGGAGCCGTGTCCCAAACACCATCTCAGATACCCGTTGGGGTTACCCCGTACGTACTATATTATATGTTGGGTAGGGCAAAAAAACGAAGCTGTGCAGGGTGTATATATCCTGTAACCTTTGACTCCTCTACCTCGAGGATTCGACTTGCCACAAAAACCATCAAAATCGCCCCCAACCCCACCTGCCCAAACCACCTGCCCACTTAACCTCGCCCAAAACACGGGCGCATCCCTCAAAGTTTTCCGCTGCTCAGCGCTCAAGTAGAGGATGCCTCCCGTTTCACAAAGGGAACGGAACTCATCTGCGACGGGTTTGGATTTCAATTGCAAACGGAATCGGAATGACCGGTGAACAGAATTCGTTAGGCACAGTTCACCAATGGTTCCGTTGTGATGTGACCAGTTTGTTCAGGTTAAGCCAGGTTAAGCTTCATCGCACTTGTTTTTTCCAGATTTGAACAGTTTTCGTCACACCGTTGAGGGTTTCCCAACCCTGCCATACCCTGCCTACTAGCAACTCCCTGGGCGGGATATCCTGCAGCGTCGAGCTCAAGCTCAACCTTGGGCGAGGCTGGCGGCTCGGTGCAGGGGCTCCTGCTTTCGAGGGGCCGGAAAGGTTCAAGTCAGTTTTGGATCCAACATCTCTCTGGAGAGTCCCCCAAAAGCACCCAAAGTGTCAAAGTGCTTCCAAGTTCCGAAAGATCTCGTTGGAGGACGAGAAGAATCGGGTCATGTGGTATGATTGAGTCTCTGTGGCCAAAACAAGAAAGGAAGGAGGATGTGATTGTTTTTCTGGCCCAGTCCAGTTGCTGCATCAAGCTACAATGTTTTGATGCCCTGCATGATCTCCTCGCGCATCAAAATGCCCAGCAGGCCGTACTGGCCATAGTTCCACACCACATCCTCAACCAGAAAAACACACACAAAAGTAAGGTGATGAACATTGACCTCAACAAACAACAAACGAATGGCAGTAATCATAAAGTGAGTGCCCGCAGTCTGGAAAGAATTTCTGTAACTGTATATAATTCGAGTACCTGACAGGTCTTTGGCGATGCGTCTTGCAAAGAAGGCTTCCCCGACCTACCGCCTTTTCTCCACCGAGGGAATATCCAGCTTGGCCAATGCTGCTGTGAAGCAAACAATAGTACACAGCAACGACCGCATACACAAATGCATAGGCGTCCAGAAAGAATACTCCCATACAGTTGCGATGCAGTTCTCATTGTGGACAAAGTACGGTCGAAGGAAAAGATCTGCACCATGTCAGTTAGATTCTAGTACAGTACATTATGTAGAACTGACTTCGCTCTTGGTACCCCAGTTTGTGCCAGCCTTCCTTAAATCAATCTTCAGCGGTAGAGTACCGCACGAAAAATGTTGATGTCTTGCCAAAGAGTCTGTTTTTTTGCCCAAATGGGCGAAATGATCCACTCATGTATTCCCAGCAATTCCCAGCAGGCGAATCTCCGCATTTTGTCCCATGCAAGTACTCAATACATCTGAGAATACTTTGGGTCTATCCTAATACCTGTAACAGCGGATGATGGTTGGTAAAGGCCTTGTTCAAAAATAGTGATAATTGTTTACTGAGTGTTACAGGTAATAGGACAAACCCAATGAAAACTAATAGTTGTATAATAGTTCCAACTTGGGGAATCCCCGGTCAGACATCAATCGATGGCATCAGGCGATCCCACCTCACCCTCCAGGCCCCATTTCCGCTCCAAGGCGCCACTGCTCGAACACCCAATGCCCAAGGCAACGACAGCAGCGGAGCCGCGCGCTTGGCGCCTTCCACGGCGAAGCCACCAGCACGGAGGAGCTTGTCCTGGACCTGCCGTTCGCAACGCAGATCTAACACGCATGGTGGGATCAAGGGGGCGGGTAGCGAGGCTATATAAATAGCTCCCAAATATGTTTTCCCGATCATTTTCCCCAGATGATACTGGTAAGGCTGGTGGATATGATTGTGGGTCAGGTCCCAGTGCCTGTGGGGTTAGAGCTCACATTTTGAGTGTGCTGTCGCAGCCAGCTATGAAGTTTATACCAGGATATGACAGGAAGCAGTCCTGTTCAGGCACCCCTCTTGGACCTTTCGACTTTGCCCGTGGACCTCTACAGTCTGCTTCCCAAGTACAAAGGCCGGTTTCTCAAGAATGTCACCCTCATCCATGTTTACCGGGTGAAGAAGCTCAAGAATCATTGTAACCGTCTGCAGCCTATCCTTCCAAACCTCCCACCTTCCGTCGATGGGGTGTGCCCAAAGATGGCCTGGCATCCATGGATGGCACGCGCTCAGTACATGATTTACGCACCCCCCGGCCACCATCAACAACCCAACGTCACGATTCTTCGACCGCTCGCGACGGCCCAACCGTGTCCACGTGCTTGGCTTCGTAGAGAGGAAAGTTTTCCGGGTCCTCCATGGAAAAAGGGAAAGAAAGGGAGAACATGGCTCAATAGAGCACCAACCAGCAAGAGGACTCAATAGACACAAGCATACATGTTTGTCCAAATTAGAGGAAAGGTGACTAAGTGGGTAATGGATAGCTTCTTTCTCCCTGCGTGGAGCAAGGTTTGGGCTCACAGTTGCAGGTCAAACTGATGTGGGCGTGTCTTCCCCAACTAACTGAGGGCAAAGGAAAGGCAAAGGAAGACTCGGTGGATATGGGTGTACCTTTAGGCAAACCCTCAGCATACTCGCAGCATCAGTTCTTTGCAGTTTGAAAGTTCTGTCTTCACAGCATCAGTCAGCACCGAGACATACATGACATGGTGTGGAGAGGAGGGATGTACAGGTACATACAAGTACGACTACAACCTAAATCGTTGGAACTATGTCATGTGTTCAAAGAAAACCCAATACTATGTATTCAATACATCTTGACGAGCTGCATCCTGGCGCCTGGGTATCCCAGTATCACATCCGACATGGCGAGCTGGTTCAAACCTACCACCCAATCTTAGCAGCGAAAGCTGATTTCACGTCCAGTTTCGCCTAGGACCCGCAACTCGGTGTCCCTCAGTCCTGCAAGAACTCTTGCACCCGCAAACAATGGTCCGCGTACCTGGCGCCACGCCATGGATTCGTGGATCGACCCGTGGGCATAGCCCTGTGAGTGAATCGACCGGAGGACGCGTGGCGGAACGAATCGACCCTCAAAAACTCTCGGATGGTTAGGAAGGAATCAAAACTGTCGGTGGACAGAACTTCGTGTCAAAGACAAATGAAAACACCTGCAGCGCCCAGTTTCATGTTCATGAATCTTCATGAAAAAACATGAAAAAGACACTGGATCAACGCTTCATTGTCGCTTTGGCTCACGTGCTGCTAAGCTCCGTGACCTTGGCCACCAAGCTCCGCGCGTCCAGCCGCGCCAAAACGAGCGGCAAGCACGTGGCACCTGGGACGGTGAAGGTTGTGCTGAAACGTAGCAAAAAGGAAGCTACAAGTACTAGTAACAAGGGCATCGCTACTAGGAACAGGGGTATTGCTACCCTAGCAAGAAGCTACTAGCAGCCATGCCAGGAGCTACTAACTTACCAAAGACCAGGGTCTAGGATTAGACCAGGGTGTAGGAACCAGGGTGTAGGTAGTCATAGGCCTGAAAAGTATCAAAGTGTTTTGTAATGTTTTGTAGCAGCCCGAAAAAATGTTGGAAGTTCCAAATGACACTCCTCGTTCATTCTTTATGAACCAACGCTAAGTGGGAGAACAACCTGGACTGACCGGTGCTTTGGTGGGAATAGAATGACCACATCCACTATATATAGATTATAGATACAATCAAGATCCATTCCTTCCTTACGAGCCGCAGAAAACGAACATCGAGCCCCCCGCAGAAACGGAGCTCGAGCTCCACAGGGAGCCCGAGAACTCCGTGTCGACTCGTTGCCGTGTCGGTGCACGACGAAAGGTGATGCCGTGGGACTCGTGCTGCTCCGTGTGAGACTATGGGGGGACCTATGGGAGACTCCCTACTCCAAGACACTCCATGTGGCATATGAATCCCAGACAGGGGTGGTTGACCTGGCGTCAATGTAGGCATTATACCATACATGGAGTGTCTGGGATTGGATACCCCCCCCCCGCTCCGCACCGGCGCTCCGAAAACCACGGATGTTTCGCAGCTTTTGGACGTCGTGGAAGGACGATGCACTGCTCGTTGGCGGATCTTGTGGCCCATGAACTCCATGATCTCTTGGCCGGCGGATCAAGTCTTTTGATTTTTGAGGATGTCCTTCAGTAAGATGTGAAACCGTGGACCCTGGGTCTCCAAGAGGGTAAACACATAAACACACATACCTAAAAGCAATGAGAATCGGTCTCCGTGTCCTCATCGAACCCCAAGCAGGCACGAACATGGACGAACTCATCCAGCGATCAGCGTGGATGTCCGCGATCAGCCCCATGGACAAACAGTTCCATGCATTTCTGCCGCCAAAGCGCAGATCCTCTCTTCCTTCCCGTACAACCTGCCAACAGAAAACGCGAGGATCTGCGCTGGCCGTGATGCTCTTTGGGACACCACCGTTCTGAAAGATACACTAGTCGCTCACTAGTTGTCCTGGAATTGATTTCCACTGTGCTCTTACTGGTGCCTGTGGACTTCTTTCCTCCTCTGCATGTTACCAGAGCACGTTGCTGCACAAAAATCAGGTTCGACAGGTGTTCATGTGCAAGTTCTTCTACAGCACTGAATTGACTCAATGTTTATCGATGTTTCAAAGAATTCCAAACGTACAGCATCCAGCAGAAGTTTCCAAAGCATCGTTCCTATCTTTGCCAATGGATACAGCTAGGAAATACCAGCGTCAAAGAGAACCAGCAAGAAAGAAACCGCCAGTTCAGTCTATATATGTTATGCGAGTTGCACAGAAACCATGCTCTCAAAACAATCGCAAGAATAAGGGTGGAAGCCTTGGAAGCCAAAAGAAAAAGAACCCATCTTCAACTCCACCACGCCATTGCTGGTCGAACAAAGATCACATCGCACCTGCCTGGCTTTGTGGGGGCACCGTGCTGCATTGACCAAGCAGTTGGCAACACCGCACAGGCACACCGCACACAGGGACCTGCGAGCCCGTGCAGTGCGCGTGGCAGTCCCGACGTGTCGGTGTATGAAAACGGTATCCGAAAAAAATGGCCTCTATGTATAGAGTACTACTAATGATATATGGGATAGAGTCCTCGGAGTGATGACCCAAGGCATCCCTTCAGCCACTCAGCAATCCAAAGATATATAACCTGAAGGCTTTTCGTATGGTCGTTGACTGGGGGTCTCGCAACCATACAGGTTTGGGTTGGGCAACCACCCAGCAAGGCCCAGCATCATTCCCTGTACAATAAATTGTACACATAGTATATAGATTTATAGTGATATATATAGTGATCCTGGTCACATTGGCCCTCCAGGAGTGCACTTCATCACCTTGCCGAAGAAAAGGCTGACGGCTGAAGAACTACCCGCTTCGCCGCTTCAGTCACTGTGATCTTGCCTAAATAGCCCAACTACATCGTAATTCAAGCACTAAAAAGCAGAACAAACGCAAATCCCCAAGATCAAGCATCTCAGCCGCCACCGCCACAAAGACTTCGCGCCTACCACAGGCTCGGCAGTGGTGTCGCAAGCTGCCGGGTAACTTGCTGAAGATGAGCCCACCTCATGCTGAGCTTCAGTGACGAAGAGGCACTCCGCGACCCGATATTAGTCGACATCGTCATCCAGCCCACCCTAGTCGGGTACAAGTAGGTGTCGCTTTCTGGCAGAGCTGCCGGTATTACACAACCCTAGACTCTAAAGGCGGGAGGTGTTCACATTGTCAGCGCCAGTATCTTTTTTCCTTCAGTAGGA